TTGTGGTTTGTTTTTTGCTTGATTGTTTTGGTTTAGTTTACAACATATAACATAGGTGGAGCTAGATTAAACAATCCGATGGTTATTACAAAACTTACCAAACACCATTTCTGTATTCTATAATACTATCTGGTGATCTTATACGGCATGTCAAATGAGACCTAAGTCTTCTAAAAAAAAACGAGATCCAAGTCACGTACTGAGTAAAAAAAGATAAAAAAGATATCTTCCCGGTGCATGGAAGTTTTCATTCGGATCTCCCATAACTAGTGAAGATATGATAAAATAGAAAGAAAAAAAAAACAATATAAAAGGTTTCGAATGGTTGTCTGTAATCATTGCCAGCAAATTATTCAGCCAACAATACCATGCTTATGGATGACACAAGCCACTTTCATAGACATTTTTTTAACAAACAATATTATCTACACTAAGAGAGTGGGGGATGAGTTATGCCTCACAATGGATTAGTAGTAATGTGGTTCAAATTTGTATTTGGTGAGAATTTAATCTCAAACCTCTCACTTATAAATGAAGAGAAATACCACTAGACCGTAATATTAAATTATCAACTACTTTCTTAGAGATGGGCTGTCAGACTCAAGTGCCAGAAAAGAAAAGAAAAAAGAGAAGAGAAACTAGTCCTAATTGTATGTAATCATTGTAAGCAAAATCTCAAATCAATAGCAATAGCTGGACTTTTTAATAGTTTTTGTTTTGAAAAATCATACTTATTTTCAAATGGGTGATGTTAGGAGACTAAATTTGTAAATTAAATTATGTATCATTAATAAGAAATAAGTATGTTAATCTACACTTAAGTAATAATTCAATTATCAACTTCCATGTCATTTAGTTTACAAAATTTAATCCACAAATTTAGTTTCCCTATCATTACCCTTGCCAAATTAATGAAATTAGTGCACGATTTACTTCCAAAACTATAAAGCAGCCAAACGAAAAAAGGCTCACTTTTCTCTGACCCATCTCGCTTTTCTCCAACGTATCTCGCTTTTCTCGCTTTTCTCCAACCTATCTCGCTTTTCTCCAACCTATTAGTCGAGAATGCTTTTGGCTGAGAGTAGTTGTGGAACATATTTGAAACACCTGCGAACTTTCTTCCGTCATTGACATCCCTACAACGATCTCTGAAGATAACGTAGCATGTATCAAATAACTCAAGAAAGGGTACTTCAAAGGAGACAACACCAAGCACATTGTGCCGAAGTTCTTTTCACATCAACAACAAGAGCATCAGAAGATTGAAGTCAAGTAAATCCGTTCCTAGGACAACTTGACCAACCTCTTTACCGAATCTCTACCAAAGACGACATTTCATAAACTTGTTCAAGGAATTGGTATGTGTATACTTTTTGAGTTGTAACATTGTTAGTTCTCTTTGGAATTCTGTCAAACTCAAGGAGAGTATTCCAAAGCATACTCGCTTGATCCTAATGTACAATTTTTCCCTACGATTAGGAGCATTTTTCACATTGGGTTTTTGCTACTTAACGAGGTTTTAACAAGGCACCTATCTTGGACTGGTCAAACCTTTGTCTACATCATACAAACATTTAATTTGGCTTTGCACTTTCTCACGCACTTTTCCTTAGACAATGAGTTTTTGTCTCGTCTCAAGTTTTATAATAGCCATTGGGTTTTTGTGAGACTTAGTCCCATATGCAAGTTCCTTTGTCTAAGATTAGGTGTTCCTAGATTAATGCTGACAAGTCGACTTCCTCAACTCTACCTAATGACGAATCTAGTTGAGTATTTACACACTCAAGGAGAAGTGTTATAGATATTATATTAAACTATGGCTTTTTAGCCAAAATGGTTCCTAAGTTTGCATAACTCCTCACTTTGGTCCCTAAGATTTGAAATCAATAGAATTGGTCCCTGAATTTGTCCACAATTAATCATTTTGGTCATTCCATGAAAAATCTCTATAAAATAGGGGTAAAATGACAAAAATATCCTCAATTTTTGTCAAATCATTTTGGCCTATTGTTTATTAAATTGAGGTTAATTTTATCATTTTAATCCTTATTTAACACAATTTTTCACCCAAGGACTAAAACGATTGATTGTGGACAAACTCAAGGACCAATTCTATTGATTTCAAATCTCAAGGACCAAAGTGAGGAGTTATGCAAATCTCAGGGACTATTTTGGCTAAATAGCCTTAAACTATTAAAGTGTGATTGTGTAAGTCCTATATAGATTTGGGTACTAGTTATTCTTTCCCTATAAGATTGTATTTACTTGGAGGACAAATAATTTCTCTCATCTTTACTACTATAAATAAGGCACTGTGTGGGAAAGGGGGACGGGTGGAATAACAACATCTCATATACACAGAGAAATCCCTACACTTTCTCCACTCTCTCTCCTTGATGCACCCCTCTATTCCCTTGTCAATCAAATAGGCCACAACATTTTTATTATTTTAAATTCCAAAACCAATCTTTTCTAAACTTTGTTTTAAATAATTAACTAAAATTTTGTTTTAACATAAATTATTTTCAATAATCCTAATGGAAAACAACCTGACTTGAGTCGTTTATGCTACAACTCCCTTGTTTTCTTGTAAGTGGGATATGACGAGGCACAGGTCGAGAGGCATATTGGGTAGGTTGGGAGGGGTCTAGTGAGTGGCATGTGAGTTATGATGATCTTGTAGTGACATAGGATGGCCACGGGGTGAAATAGGGCTTGGAACAACGTGGGTGTTTGCAGTGGAAGCTGAAGCGTGTGGGTTGTGCAGAGGTATGGCCTGCATCGAAGATTCGTACACGCGAGGGACAATCTCAGGGGCATGAGGTTGAATAGGTGATGTCTTGGCCAGGTGACGAGGTTGACTGAATGGACTTGCACAACAATTGGGTGTGGTGGCCTTGGTAATTGATAGTTCCTTGTACTCCGTAAAAGATGAGACTTGCAAATCATTATAAAGAAAAGGTGACTATTTAAAAATAACATGATGAGACACATAGACATGACCAGTAGAGGGATCAAGATAACAGTAATCTTTATGTTAAGTACTATAACCAATAATGACACAAGGTTTAGAACGACTCTTTAACTTGTGAGCAACATACGGTTCTAGATGAGGAAAACCTAGTTAACCAAAGACACAAGATGAGAATAAGTGGGAGGATGATCAAACATAATGTGATAAGGAGTGGTCCAACCTAAAATCGGTGTGGGAAGGAGATTAATAAGATGAATAGCAGTGAGAGCTACTTCAACCCACAAGGTGTGGGTTAAGCCGACAGTGTGGAGAAGAGATCGAATAAGAGTGGCAATCTGACGATGTCGTTTAGCAAGGCCATTTTTTTTGTGGGGACAAGAGTATTGTTGTTCAATGCCATTTTCATGACAAAAGGTAGAAAAGGATTGATTAATATTCAATCCTATTGTCACTTTGAATGACCATAATAGTGGCATGAAACAAGTTACAGAACATGGCAACAAAAATTTTAAAATGATCAAAGACCTCATATTTTCATTACATACAATAAATCCAACATAACGAGAAAAATCATCAAAAAAAAAAAAAATACATAATAACAAAAACCACTGAAAGAAGTAACCGGAGACATCCACACATCAAAATGAATAACATAAAAATGGGAAGAACCAAAGATATTAGTATTGGAATAAAAAGGTAATTGGGTGGACTTTCCAAGAGCACATGCTGTACAAAAATTGTACTTTCAAATAATGATACGTGGTACGATGAGATCGGTTAAAAATTCTATTCAAAATTTAAAATAAATTTTCTTTTTTATAAAATAAAAAATAATAATATTATATTATTTATTGCAATGACTATTTAATTTAAAGGTGAAGATGCAAAACACAATTACTGTGCATCAATGATAGTTACTATTCACTTGAGAATATTCAATTACCTATTGCCATAGAGAGTCTTTACACAATGGAACTATTCTAAACTTGAGGGACGGCAGAAGCGGTGGAAGACAAAAATATACCCATCTTTACATGGGTATGAAAGAACCAGTTGGGCTGAGAAATGGTTGCGGAAGTGGCCTGCTGAAGTTGGTGGGTAAAAGACTTCAGAAATGGGCCGGCGACAGTAAAAGGCTGAGGTGCAGTGGGAAAAGGCAGCTGGTGATGGAGGCAATTAACTTAAGAGATAATCTTGGACCAAAACCTAAATAAGAGAACAAAGTGCTGGAAGCGTTGTGTATTTTATTTATTTTTTTTGATAAACAAAGTTTTGTTGTTGGTTTGTGGTGGACGTGAGAAGAAAGTGAAGAAACCCTAGCATCCATAGAGAAAGGATAATGCTAGGAAGATCAAATTTTTAGACTAAATTTGTAAACTAAATGATGTGTCATTACTAAGAAACAAACACGTTAATCGACACTTAATTAATAATCCAATAATCTACAACCGCATCATTTGGTTTGAAATTTGATTAAAAATATGTTTTTCCTAACATAACCAGACAGAAAACCTAGACAATTGAATAGAATTTTGACTCCTTATTTGAAAGTGGAAAATATTACAATATATATATACACACAATATCTGTTAAGGTAGGATCCCTGCAATAATTACAATAGGAAGTTATTACATTCGTATAATATATCCTATAATTACGGAGAAGAGTCCGAATTAATAATATAAAACGAAAAGGAAGAAGAAAAGCACCCAACTTGTTGATATACCTGGCCAAACACGGCATAAATAAGTCCAGTGCGTTTCCTAAGTACAAATTTGTATTTACCATTAAGAATACTCCAATCCGGGTGCTGTCGAATCATTGTTAGAACTTCCAGTGACCATCCGAATGCTACGCTCTGAGCGTTTGTCTTGCTCGCATTGTGCATTGGAGAATTAATAACAATAACCTGGTAGTACAAGTTTGGTTTGTTACAAGGTAAAACCGGAGTATCAAACTCTTAATTAACAAGATCCATAATTCCTGACTTATTTTCTAAGTCACCCTAACCACATGACAGTACCTTTTTTTGTCACAATGAAAGAGAATAGAACTCTTGATTTAACTTGCCACTTAGTACTACGATTTATTGATATTCCTCTTCATTTGTAAGTGAGAGGTTTTAGGTCCGATTCTCTCAAAAGACGAATATAAACTATTCATTGTGAGACTCAGCCCATTCCACACTCTCTTAATATAGTTAAGATCGTTTGTCAAAAAAAAAAGAAAACAAAAACCCTCTTTACTAAACTTACTCCTTACCTATAACCTAGTCAACCCACCCTACTAGCCTCAGAAGAAATCATCATATAAGATTGATTGAATTTTCTTATTTCCGTGTAGTTTGTTCTACACACCGTGCAAAAGAACACAAAAAGAAAGATTATGCATGAATAATTACGTACCTTGAAAATTACATGAAAATTTGTTTCATTTGAGTTGCTACCTAATATCCTTGTATAACTGTAAAATTAATATTAATACATGTTCTACTACTCCTCTTATTCCTCCTGCAGTTTTGTAAAATCTTACGCAATTCCTCAGGCCTGCAAGGAACTACAAGAGCACCCTTCTGATCAAATCCATACTCTTCCTTGGCCTCTTCCAGTAACCTCAAAAATTCAGGGTTACTCAACGACTCCAATTTGACCACAAACCTCTCTGCTTCATTCCCCTTGACAGCAAAAACTGCAAAGTATCCTTCTTTAATGTCTCCTGGCACCACCGTTGTCACTTCCGATTCTTCATGGAAATCATTGTGACGACGATGGTGATCGAGAGGGCCTCTAGATGCTAAGATCGAGAGACTCTTGTGCACTAGCTTCCCGATTACCAGCCTCAGCATCAGCAAACCTCGATCCTCGGCTTTCTTCGATCTATATATGTTCTTCTCGGTAGACATAGTGTTAAGTAGTAGAGCTGAAGTGGTTTATTTTTTTATGAGTGATGCAGATTGACTTCTATGGAGGAGGTATTTATACGGAGGGTGCTTTGTGAACAAAACCAGAATAGAAAAGGAGGAAGCTACTGTTTTCAGTGTGGAGCCTTTGCATGTAGTTGCAATGGACGACATGTCATTTAATGCAAACATTTGATGGGTCGCGCTCAAAGTGTTTGTACGCGGTACTCTTTTCATCCCTGAGTTTTGTTTAAGTACATACAATAACTTTTATACCATGGATAAGTTGTTATTGTGGATGTTTATGCTAATGTATAAAAGATTATTTGAACAAAAACTTATACATAATATTATATTATTAGCATGAAACGTCATGGTAACGATTTCCTTATTTCATGAAAGTTGCTATGTATAAAAGGGTTGCTATTTTATCCGTCCTATGTTAACTTTAGAATTCGATCAAGAAATGATAAATTTTTATCAAAATACAAACTATAGAAAATAAACTAGAAGAAAAGGTAAGTTTAGAAATAACATGAGATTGAGATGGACATTCTATATCATTTAGCTATATTGTTTGGCTGCTTCATAGTTTTTGGAAGTAAATCGTGCACTAATTTCATTAATTTGATCAGACTAATGTTAGGTAGACTCAATTTTATAAATTAAGTGATATGAAAGTTGATGATTGAATTATTACTTAAGTGTTGATTAACTTGTTTATTTCTTATTAATAACACATCATTTAATTTGCAAATGTAGTCCATAAATTTAGTCTCCCTAGCATTACCTATTTAACAATAAGAATGATTTTGAAAACATAAAAACTATTAAAAAGTCCAGCTAGCTAGTGATTTAAGACTTTGCTTACAATGTTTCCATACAATCAGGACTAGTTTCTCATTTTATTTTATTTTATTTTTTAAAGATATGTCAGTTAGTCAATGTATATGAAAGTGGTTTGCACTTAGAGTTGAATATGAGAGTGCGCAACGAATGAGACTAACAAAATAATAGAAATATTATTAAACAAACAAGAATGCTGAAAGGGCTACAAAACCCTAAGAGACTACATTGTGTCTGACTTAATATCTCTGAATAACAAAGTTCTCTATTTATAATAAACTAACCCTAGTCCCTAATAAGCAAAGAAACTAAAATCTAAAGCTAATGGGCCAAGCCCAAATCTAAACACTAAATAAATAACTATTTTCCAACACCCCTTGTCAAACTCATGGCGATACACGTCATGAGTTTGCCAACAAGTAGATGCGGATGCAAGCTCCGTTAGGCGGACACAACAAGGCAAGCTCCGTTAGGCGGACACGACAAGGTAAGTTCCGTTAGGCAGACACGACAAGACAAGTTTTGTTAGATGGACACGACAAGGTAAGTTCTATTAAGCGAACATGCAAGCAGGCAATCAAGCACACAAACGAACAATCCAAGCGAACAAGCAAGCAAGTAGATTCCGGTTGAAGATCCAATTAATAACCAAGTACACAACACCACTTGAATGATCATCAGTCCAAGTGATCGTCGTCGTGGTAGGCAACCAGGAGATTTCCAAGCTCAGCAATAACCATTCTTACATCAACCGTGTGGGCCAAAACAAACAGCCAACTTTTTCTTTTTTTTTTCTTTTTTTTTTCCTTATTCCTTTCTTCTATCTGGGCAGTGTTCTCCAGAGAAAACAAATCCGAATGTAGGTATGGGATCTCAATTCTGGGATTCTTGACGCGATGGGATAACAGTGACGACGGTGAAGTGCGGATCAAAGGGTGAGGATGCGGAAGTGCAAGTTGTGGACGAAATTGATCAGGTGGGCTTGGATGGCAGATGTGCTAGGTTTTCTGGTTGCAGCGGTAGTGTGCAGATGGGGTGGTTGTCAAGCAGATTGCAGTGCATGTTGTGCCTTGGCCCGTTTATCAGTGCGGAAACGAGATTCAGATTACAACCTCACCAAATCACACTTAGTTGAACAGAATAAAATACAAGAAATAAAGACACCGAGAAATTTACGAGGTTCGGCAAAAATCCTGCCTACGTCCCTGGAGAGATATTGTTTTTCACTATGAGAATAATAGTACAAGTAAACATGAGTTAAATCGACATAACCCAATCCCAAATCCCTTGTACACCCACTCATAGAATTTTCCAAGAGCCTCACTCTACCCCAAAAGTTCTTTCACTAGAGACTTTTCACTCTAGCTCTCTTGATTTTCTCTCAACCCATGTTCAACCTTTCCCATGGAAGAGCCGAATGCTCTGCCCTTGGATGCTTCTATGATGCTTACATTCCCACTTTCTAAGCATTACTAAATCCACAAATATTGCATCTAGTTATAGGCATACACTAGCAACTATGCCAACAACCAAGACCAAAAAGTCTTAAGTTCACATGACATAATCAACACCTAGCCTACCTAGCATGCACCAAAGTCTATACCTAGTCTATAAAGTATAACTTTGCTTGTGGTAGTCACCATGTCTTCAATTGTTGTCAACACATGACTCATAATTACTCACAAATGTATGAGCCAAACACAACAGTGCAGTGGTGGTGACAACAGGTTACAAGTCCGGGCAGCAATGGTTCCAGGTGGGTTCAACGGCAGCAGATGGTGAGGCGACGAAACGATTACAGGCGCGAAGCAAGCAGACTTCGACAGAGCACAGAGGTTCAAAGGCAAGCAGTGTGGCAGAATCATGGTTCGGTGGTTCAGGTTTAATTCGAGAGAGATGCAGGTTCAATAGATCATGTTCAAACATCCAAGTAAACAATGGTGAATTCTTCGATTTCAGCAGCATATGCATTCGGTGCAGAACTGCTCTAGGGTAGCCCGATAGACAAATTGGTGTAGCAGTGAGTCTCTGGGCAATTTAGACTAAACCAAGGACTAAACAATGAACAAGACGGATAAACAAACTGATACGAATCAAGGGCATATTAAATCCCTAAGGATCAAACATGCTCTGATACCAAGTTGAATATCAGAGTGCGCAACGAACGAGACTAACAAAATAATAGAAATATTATTAAACAAACGAGAATGCCGAAAGGGCTACAAAACCCTAAGAGACTATATTGTGATTGACTTAATATCTTTGAATAACAAAGTTCTCTATTTATAATAAACTAACCCTAGTCCCTAATAAGTAAAGAAACAAAAATCTAATTCTAATGGGCTAAGCCCAAATCTAAACACTAAATAAATAACTATTTTCCAACACTTAGTATTACGGTCTAGTAGTATTCATCTTAATTTGTAAGTAAGAGGTCTTAAATTCAATTCTTACCAAACATGAATTTGAACCACATTATTACTAACCCGTTGTAAGGCTTAGCCTCCTCCCCCACCCCCTTAGTGTAAATAATATTGTTTGTTAAAAAAAATGTCTATGAAAGTGGCTTGTGTCATCCATAAGTACGGTTTTGTTGGCTGAATAATTTGCTGGCACGATTACAACAACCATACGAAACCTTTTATATTGTTTTTTTCTTTCTATTTTATCATATCTTCACTAGTTATGGGATGACCCGGAGGAAAACTTCCATGCACGGGGAAGATATATTTTTCATCTTTTTTACTCATTACGTGACTTTAGGTCTCATTTTTTAGAAGACTTAGGTCTCGTTTGACACGTCGTATAAAATGATTGGATAGTATTATAGAATACGAAAAAGGCGTTTGGTGAGTTTTGTTGTAAGCACCAAATTGTTTAGGCTGACTCCACCTATTTTATATGTTGTAAACTAAACCAAAACAATCATGCAATAAACAAAACACAACACAATCTAGAGTTATCTAATATAGGAGTAACTGTAACAATGGAAGCTTTATTGATTATCAACGAATACAAGAGAACTCACAAACACAAAGTGCTCTCAAGTATACAATTTTATGCCTCAAAAGCTCTCTCAAAACGTCTCCCAAAGCCATATATTCCTTCTACGGTGGTGCTATCCTCAAACCCATTTTTACCTCTCACATACTCCTCTCAATGTCCGGCTGTTGAATCCAAGAAGATCAATGGACAAAAATTAACAAGGGTATTTGAGAGGTAAAAAGAGGTATGCGAATATCACTACTCTTTATACTCGTAGATGCCGTGGGTTTCACACAAATCCTATATAATATAGGAAACCAAATTCTAGAATAAAACCGAATCCTAACCAAACTAGAAAGTTGTACTTAGGGTTAACTTGCGTCCCAGCTATTCCAATCCTACACCTTTTCTGGATTCCTGTTTTAGTTTAGGCACATGTTAATTGAAAGCTAAATCCCACACTACACCCTTTACACCGGCTAACTTTTCCCTTCCAAAACCTTGGGTATTATTAGTCGGGCACACAGCAGAACAAAAAAAGGCTCGCTTTTCTCCGACCTATCTCGCTTTTCTCCGATCGATCAACATCAAGCAGATAAGAATATGGAAAGAAAAAAAGCCATCTTCTTCCCAACTATGTCATTCAATTTATAGCAGCATGTCGGTAAAAGTTTGTTATATTTCTCGTGACATCTTGGTTATCCATCTTCAAACTTAATGGCTGGTAACATCATTCAAACCATTTCATAAAAGAAAAAAAAAAAGTCGTAGTAGCTTTATAGTTTTTAAAAAAGTACATCTCTAACAAATATAATTAAAAGCTAAGATACTACGATTTTAAAATTAAACTTTGGTCAAAATTAAACTAGTTAATTTGACTAGTTGTAAAAAACTCAGGTTATTTAAATAGGAAAAAAAGATAATGCTATTCACACTCATTTTCACCTCTCACACACTCTTGTTAATTTTTTGTCATTGATATTCTTCAATTCATTCGATCTGACGGCTAAAAATTGATAGAGATTGTGTGAGAAATAAAAATGGGCATGAGTAGCACTACCCAAAAAAATCCCACATCGTTAATTTGACTAGTTGGTTTTTTATTGATGATACGCAACTAAATATATCCTAGAGATGAGTGTTTCTTTTTCCTTTCTGTAAAATTGATTTCCATGCGGAAAGCCATCATGGATGTGCTAGAGCAGAACTATGAGCAAAGAACACCATCTGGAAAAACAGAACAGAAATTTCATGAACAAGACCACAACTATTGGATCGAACAACCTATTTTCGAACAAAATGACTTAAACATCTCAATTAGATTGCAGCTGAATATTC